GATATGTTGCTGTTTGTTTTTGTCAAGATCTCAAATGGCCCGTGTGCTGCATTGATGTATCTAATCATTCCTTCAGACTTACACAGGAAACATACTGATTGCTGTGAATCCTTTTAAAAGATTACCTGAATTGTATGGCAAATGTGTCATGGAAAAGTATAGAGGAACTGCACTTGGGGAGTTGAGTCCTCACCCTTTTGCTATTGCTGATGCTGCTTACAGGCAAGCTGTGATGCAAGGTTTTGTATGTCTACTCATGTGCAATTATTTCCATGCTTTCCATCAAGCTGCACTTATGGATGCAGACAGATGATTAATGACGGGATCAGCCAGTCAATTTTGGTTAGTGGAGAAAGTGGAGCTGGCAAGACAGAAAGCACAAAGATGCTAATGAATTATCTTGCATATATGGGGGGCAGAGCAGCATATGAGGGACGGAGCGAGGAGCAACAAGTCCTTGAGGTATGCATTGCCCTCTGTAAATATTTAATTTTGATTGTTATGCTATAACGTAACGCTCTGCTTTCAAGAATCCTAATATGGTCTAAGATGTGGATTTTCTCTATTTTCCAGTCAAATCCGGTTCTTGAAGCATTTTGCAATGCAAAAACAGTGAGAAACAACAATTCAAGCTGCACACAAGTTGCATTTAAAATGCCTTATATTGTTTGTATGTGTGTGTGTGTATATATATATATATATTTTACAGAGAAAACCACCAAACTAGGTGGGGTAAGGTTTAGGAAACCATTATTAAGTTCATTAAGGAGAGAGATATGTTACACGTTTGGGGAGGACTAGACCAACGCCCCAAAGGTAAAAAGAAATAAACAAATACATGGCAAATTAAGAACAAAACTTAAAACAAAGAATCACTGCTCTTCTTCAGCTGTGTGTGTCTGTGTGTGTGTGTATATATATAATTTTTGTACGGTGTGTGAAGAATCACTGCTCTTCTTGAGCTATTGTTGTACGGTGTGTAGTTGAGAACAATGACATCATTCCAAGGATGTCATCTTTGAGACGTTGGAAGAAGGCTTAGACCGTAGTATATGATTTGTGCCCTATAGATATCTTGTGATACTCCTTAGTTCCATCTAAAAATTTTTATTCAGGGGTGAATTTGCGTGTCCAATCCCTTTTTCTGAAAAGCGTTTTCACTGGTAGTGGTTTGTAAACTTTGAGTTACTTCATATCTTTACAAACATCTGTGCTGAACTTTAAACTCAATTTGGCTGCTTGATCACAATTTTACGCCATGGTAGTCCCTAAATTTTTTTTACCAATCCATATAATTAGCTTATGGCTGGCCATGAAATGCTTCATCAATTATCTTGTGTCCAGTCCCATGTGTATGTAATACTAAAAAAGAAGTTTATCTTGTGGCCAGACACCTCAACAAAATGGGATGGGGGATTGCTGAATGTAAGAACCATCATTTAGTGGTCACCACTTGCACACTGCCACACTCTTATCACATTCCGACACACAACCTAAATACTACTCTGATTCCATCCTCAATGCTTTCCATCACATTAATCAGGTGCCTTCCTTCTTCAAAACAAAGTTCTTTATTCCGTTCTCTTTTCTACTTGTGAGTTGTTCCCTTTACCACCAAATATCTTTGGATGTGTCTATTTTGTTCATGATACAACACCCA